CTTCGCTGGTCGAATTAATAATCGCCAATGTACCATTGGAATTCAGTGTGATACGACTATGCAAAACTTTTGAATGACTGGAGGAACCTGTAAAACGGAAGCTTTCGCATCGCTAGACAAATCTTAGTACGCCTAGTAACATTTGTCTGACACGCATCTACCGGATCAGAAGATGATGTTTGTTCACTTAATCTGAATAAGTACTACTATAAAATTGTCAACTAAAGTGAAACAGGAAGATTTTAAAAGAAATAAAGGCACAGTAATTACTGACAAATTTCTTTCATTTCACCATTAGCTTCTTCCTTATACCAAACTGTTTCATTCAGTCCAGGAAATGAAACTGCTGGACAGTCTAACCGGACCGTTTCGCTTTTGACTCCCCAAGTTTTTGGTGCAATTACAGTAAAACGATCTTTGTCTCCCAATTTATAGCCATTCGTCGAGTTGAATACAAATACTGGACGCACTGAAAATATAAATAATCCTAACAATAGTCTTACCAGCCAGATCCTTGCAGATAAAAAAAAAACTATCTTCCTGCCACTACCCGTTTTTTTTTCCCCCCCCCCCTTACCCTGTTTTTTATTTCCGGCAAAGCCCAATTTAAGCTGAGAAGGAAAAAGAAAAGAAATGAAGAAAATGACAACCCCTGTTGGGAAGAGAGGAATGAATATTTTTCTACTCAAAGAGACCAATCAGAGTTAATATTATCATCACTATTACAGTTAATATTATTCGTTTACACCAATGTGGCTAAGAAAACAGTAATAGCACTAATTTTACGACACAAAAAAAGTAAAAAACTTATTAACTAGTCCAGAAGAAATAATAGAACTTCCTTTTCTTTTGTTTCATAATAATTTTTTGTTTAAGGTCCCCTTTAAAAGTACCACTAAACAATTTGAATATCTTCTGTTAATCCACCCCCAAGTTGTCTAAGAAACAAAAAAAAGTACCTATTACAATAATCAAATTAATCATTTTCTCTGCCTTTTTGATTGTTTTCATTGTTACTTACCAATCTCCCATCCCACTTCTCCTTCCAGTTGTTTCTTGTGAACCGCATGACAACTGATAACTATATTGTTGAGATATAAAAGAATAAAATACAAAAAATAATTGAAGAAATAAAACAGCGCAATGTAATGAAAAATTTACTGTTTATTTGTAAAAATTCAGAAGCATAATAATGCTTAATTCTTGATTCAACATACAGATCGCATCTGTATTCACCGAGATGTGAAAAATTGGCATTCTGTATTTCAAGGGTTAACCGTAACGTTTTCCCATGTCGTTCAATAACACCATCAATTTGTTGCTTCGTGTTAATTTTCCAATAAACACCGCCAGATATTTTTCGTAATTCATCTTTTTTTGTTTTTGCTACACACCTGAAAAAAAAACGAAAACTTTTTTTAAAAGTATAAATTGAGAAAAAAAACTTTGAATTAGTTTTCAAAAAAAAGTTTTATCGCCTTATTAATAAGAACTAAAAAACGTTTTCTTTCTTTTGCTTCTTTACTTCTTCCCCTTTCCTGTACAAATATCAGTAAAGGTCATCCGTTACTAGAATCTCTAAACCTACAAAAGTCCAACAGTTTTATTTTAAACGATACTCAATCAAGCAATCCTTCAGCATCAACATAACTTCCAGACAAACACTTTTCAACTGTACATAAATTACATAGAATTTTTGGGCGAATAATGGTGATAACAGATTCTAACTGCCAAATGTTCAAATAATTTTAATTCAACAAACTTTACTACTATTACTATCTTTGAACAACATAAAAATTCTTCAAAATTAAATTATAAGTTATATTAGTTGAAGAAAAATTTCATCTATATTCTTCGGGTTTCTTTACTTGTACAAAACATTGGCATTAAGATGTACACTGTAGAGGTGAAAGGAAAAAAAGCACTGCAGCGATTTTAAAACTCAGTAAATGCTATAGTGAAAAGGAAAAATTATGTTTCATTAAAAAAAAAACACTGTTATTCAACCCTCTTCCTCCCCCCCCACCCCTTCAAAAAAAAAAAAATGACATTCTTCACTGCTACTGTTGAGATAATGCAAATTTGCTGAAATTACTGTTTTCAGCAATAACAGCAATAGACTACCAAATATTTACAGCTCTGAACAGCCTGTTCTTGAATTTCTGTACACAGTTTGACAATTATCCAAAAAAAAAAAAAAAGATTCTAAACAAATTATTCGACCTAATAAAATAAAGCAGAAATTTTCTCCTCTCTCTTTCCCCTTCTTTTTTTTTTCATCTTTCCATTTTTTTTTCGCCTTCAAAAGGTAAAGGAAGCAAAAAAAGATATGTTGGTATGCTGTTTTAATGCATTAAAGTTTCACAAACTACTGGTTTTTTCCTTCTACTCTCACCTTCACATCAAAATTTTATTCCGTTACAAAATTAAATCATTTTGTTAAGAAAAACTGTTTTATACTGTAGCCAACTATAATACAAATACAAAAATTCTCTATAAGAACTGACCAGATGTTTGATACTTTCAGATGTGGCAGATGAGCGGCATTGAAAAGCGCTGAAGAGACGTTGAACAAAGCTGATTTGTTATGACACTGTGCTTTACCGTTGTCATATGGATCTATCTGAGCCTCAAAATCAAACCTGGATTCCACATTGCTGGTCCAGAATCCTGTAATGAAAGTATTTTTAGTTTGAAAGCTTTTATTGTTAAAAGACTGAAAATACACTCAATAATCAGTAATTTTGTTCAAATAAATAAGCAAATTTTCCGTGTCCTTTCAGCAGCTGTAAACAACTAATCTAACTTTAGTAATTTTACGACAGATGCCAACACCAATTTATATTTCTGAATTTAAATATGACAAATCATAGGTAATTAAACAATTCCCTCCACATATTTTCCTTCATTTTTTTTTCGCTTACACCGCTGCGACAGCTACTAGGAGGAACTTTTAAATGTAACTAAAGTGATTATTTGGCTCTATAATAGGTCAAAAAAACCTCTCATATTACAGAACAACACAATCACAGATTCCATCTGAAAAATCAACCAACTTAGCCAAACCTTAATCAGAGATGAATAGAAACGAAAAGAAAAGAAATGGAAAAAAAAAATATTACCCAAAAATGTGACGACAATTACTTGAGTGATTAGCCAGTTCATAATTCCTTTCTTTTATGCAGATAATGTTACCTTGTCGATAATCGGTTAATCATAGCCAAAGAAATTAACCTATAAAACGTTACTAAGCTGTATAAAAGTTTACTTAAGTAACCGACAAACAATCCACTAACCGACAGCGCCATCAAACAATTAAACATAACGACACTTCTCCAACAACTGTTTATATGCTTTAAAATAGAAACATAATTTGCGGTTAACAAATCTGCACTCTTTTTTTTCTCCTTCTCAATTGATAGATAAGCAAAATAAACATTCATACACGTATGTATTTATATACGTAAAATGATGAGAAGGAAAAGAACGAGTTAATTTGAAACTGGGCGGAAATGACAAAGGTACTTTTTATGAAACGAAATGCTTAATAATAACGAATAACAGCAATAATAAATAGTGGCAAATGGTAATAATAATAGTGACAATGACTATATATAAATATAAATATAAATAAATAAATATAAATAAATAAATAAATATATATATATATATATATATATATTAAATAAACAAATAAATAAATATATATATATATATATATATATATATATATATATATTAAGCAAAAATGCTAACTCAAGGCGGATACTGGATAAGACTGTTTTGCAAAAGCAACAAAAGTGGCAATAAAATTTGCAAGCAGAATAGCATTGACCAACTAACTAACTGGCCAACTGAATAACCAACGGATTAACTGATTTACTGACTGGCTGAGTGAATGTTAAAATTAGTCCAAACAAATCAACACCACTTTTTTTTTTGTGTGTGTGTGTGTGTGTGTGT